AAAAAAAAGCAGTGAAGAAGGAGAAGAAGAAGAAAAAGAAGTAGAAGATGTGCTCTGACAGGATTTCAACAGCAGCAGGATGTTAAATCCGGACAGAAGTTCCTGCTTCAGGGACAAACAAAACATCAGACCAACTTTCCATCAGTTGTGCTGAATGAAAGCACACATCTTTCCACTTGGCATCAGTGCATACCAGAACGGCTCACAAAACTATGAAGTGACTTCAACTTCTTAACCCACTGCTATGCTGACTCTACACTCATTTTATTATCTCAGGTATTAATGGATCTAGAGGTAGGACCAGCTCAGCTTACAGCAGGTCCTTGGTGTCATTTCACTTTCACTATCAAAATCTACTCGAACTCGACATGTATTCTACTTGAAACCAGTTCAACAACTGAATAATCTTTGGTTTTATTTAAGGGATCTTCTAATGGCATTAAGGAGGATTCACTGGGAGCTTTTATGGATAGGCGGGACTTCATGTGGATCTATGAGTGTTTGAAAGCTTAAAAGGTGAGTACAAACCAGTTATAAAAATGTGTTATTGATGTGTGCATTGATTGTATTGATATATGTACGTGATATAAAATAGTCTTAAAATGGCTCATTGAGTGTAAGGGTGTAGCTGTCTTGGCAGATTTAAAGGAGGTCTAACTAATATATTTACACATAAAGCTAGACTTTTTCAGTGACCTGTTAAAAAGCTAAAGAGGGAACGATTGCCCTGTGGGGGAAAACTCACTGATTTTCTTTAAACCAAGTCATATCTGCTCTAATTATTACTGGTGAGGGATGGCAAATACCTCACCTTTGGACTGGATTAAAACTCACTGACTGGGTCAGGTGAAATCAACTAGCCCCCAAAGATGAGTAAATCCCTTCCAGATGGGTCTTAAGATAAAAGTTTTACAAATCTTTTCATTGTATAAATATTTATTCCCCATCCCTAATTTCAGCCTCTCAACAGGAGCGATCTGATATACACATTCACTATAATGAATCCAAATATGCAATTTTCAGTGCTACTTCTATTACATAGTAAATTTACACTACTTAGAGACACAAAGGGAAGCAAATCGTTGAACAAATACCTTCTCTAATACACATGTAGCTATGTTGGTGCTTGAGTGGCAAATTAAAGTGCAACTCTGCACAGTGTCAAACAATCAAGCCAATTATCCCAGCAGGTATTCTATGATAAAAAAAATAAGTGAGGGAACATAAAGCTTTCCCCTGAAGGTTTGCTGCCTTGTAGCTGCTTCCCCTGAAAACCAGCTTCTCTGCCTGCTCGAGTCACTTGTTAGATGATGACACCGCCACCAGAGATGATGATGATAACACAGAGAAGAAATTGCACAAAGATGGTGCAACTGCATGGTGGAGAAAACTGTTCGAACATAAAAATATTCCTTTAGTTTAACTCTACACTCCTATTTGATTTTTTTTTCAGAAAGTAAAAAGAAGATAAATCAAACTCTCAGGTCTTTGGGTTAATGTTCTGTTCTTCTAGAGTAAAAAATCCCTTTAGAAGATCCACACCAACACTGTATCCTCCCAGCAAGAGAGCTGTGTGTGGATATCTTGTTCCTCTGAGCCATAGAGCTTCATTGTTGGAGAAGAACTGTTCAAAAGACGTCAGTGAGCCAAACTGATGCACTCGATGACATGTTGTGTCATTTCCATGAATTCAGCCCCCTATACACCATTCTGCTGTCCCAAGTACTCGTCACCACCAAACTAAAGCTACAATCATCCACGGCTGAAAGGGTTCACCGACAAAGCAGCTATTTCCTCTTTTTAAAAAACTGCAGAATTGTAGGTCTACATGTGATATAACCATCCTTAGCCCATGAAGATAGAGCTGTAGGCAAGGAAAAAGTGGAGAGAGCTCTAAATTTGACGTTTACATTTACAAGTAGCCACAGCTCTAAATCTCAGCTATAAAGGACATGGCTCTGTTCTGGGAAATCTCCTTCGACATATACAGATGGCTAGCCAAAAGGTTGGAGGGCAGATGCTGGATTACCTTACAGAACACAATAGGCATGAATGATAATTAAGTTAGAAACAGCATGAAACATAAAGCTGAGGTAGGGGTGGGTTTCAAAGTGGCTGGCAGTTTAGCAAAACTAAGTTGAAGCAAGATAAAAAGCACATCTCATTAGAAACTGGATGTATAGACGTTTATGAGCTGAACCATCAGCTGATGTAGGCTAAGCCTGACTTCATGGCCTGTCTGAACTAACACTATAATCAATTCAATTCATCTCCCTACTGGTTATATTCAGTTATACTGACAGCAATGCCCTTATCAATTCTGCTTATAGGTCAGATTCCTTATTAATTCCCTTATTGATTCCTCATCAATTTTCAGTGTGTGGGGGGAGAAGTATGCCTACACAGATTTTCAAGATCAATGCAGCAGTAGTAATAGCTGTACGTTCAAAAGCAGTGCAGAAAAGTGCACACATGCTAGTTTGGTGTGCAAACACACTAACACAATGAGTTTGCGTTTTCCTGTTGTAAACTGTCAGACAAGTGATTGTTTACAATGGACTGATCATCTGGAACGTACTCTTGTCCCTAGTAGCATCTCAGTTTGCAGTGCAGGGTTTAGTGAGGAGCTCAGGTTTTGGTCTCACCATCATATACAGTAAATTCACGTTTTGAAGCATTGACTTTAGTTGTGTGGCTGCCCCCATATTTGTTTTGCTCTGTAGAAACTGTTGTTATATGAATTGGAACTAACTGCACACTCATCCAGTAGCAGCAGTAACATAGCTAATTGCAAGGTAGTCATAGCCTAGAGCTATGCTTTCATTGTCTGTTTTACTCTAAATGGGACCATAATTTACAAAATAAATCTCTTGTATAAAATAAGATGTGAAACCCACAATTAAAATCAGAATTCAAAAGGAAAGTGTGTACCGAAGTCTCAAAACAACTGAGCAGTAGCGTCATTCAGACAGTGTTTTGAAACCAATGGCCCCCTACTGGTCATAACAGAAAATGCAAGTTTAATGGACTTCCACATTTAGCAAGATTTGTGCTCCAGTGCATGTTCCTGTCCATCTTTGTACAAACAGGCATTTCATCAGATGGAGGCAGTGTACAAAGTATGTGGTACAACTGGCCAGTGGGACATTTATGCTTGTCAGCTTCAGAGAAGGGTGAAGTTATAACTTGAACTTTGAAGTTTTTTGTGGCTGTCTTGTTCCTAGTGAACACAGTTTTTGCGTCTTTCTCTATTCAGGCCCACTTGTCAACCAATAAGCCATGATGCTTACATCTGCACAGGAGCACATCTGGGGTGGGTGACCCCCCCACCCAATTGTGTACGCAGACCAATACATTTGCAGGACCATAAAACTTGTTTAGTATATCTTTTCAGATCCCAAAGCTACAATCATCATGGTGGTAGTGATGCGTCCCTGTTGACTGCTTAAAACCTTTTTGCAATTAAAGTTAATTGTGTCCATTTGTTTTGGGGTCTTTTGGGTATAGCAACACTGTGCGACACCTGGGTATCAAATTATGTGACAATACCTTTGCAGGTAAAGATGTGGGCCTACCTGAGGGAGATGGGCTATTTAAATTGGTCCTTTGACTTAGCTAAAGTCATTTTTTGCTGGCTTTTAATATAAAACAGGTTTTAATCAAACACAAAAATAAATAAATAAACTGGCTTGAGTCGATGTTTTATATACAGCCTATTCTCCCACTGTGACTTTAAAACTTTTCGAAGCTGCACCTAAAACAAAATCGGATCAGAATATGTGTCTGAAAAATACATCCAATCAAATGAAAATCCCTCAACTGATCAGATTAAATTGTGAGGAAATCTGCCTCCATCTGCAAGTTCAATTAACTACAGTAAATTTTTAATAAACCCCATCAACACAGCGCCTTTGTTGATCTGTTTTACTTTTCAGTTTGAGTTGTTTGAGCACAAACGTGCTCAGAGTCTGATCCATGGTCAGTGTAGCAGCCATTAATTTCACACAGACTGGTTCAGACAGAGGGGAGAAAAAAACGAGAGGAAGAAGCTCTAAGCTCATCCTCAGCTTCATTCTCGTTCAGTCTCGATCCACTCCCTTCCCCTCTCTCTCACGCTCTCATTTTTGCCTTCTCAGTGTCTAGGTCTCTCGCCCTCTCTCGCTCTCACCAGTGCAGTCTCAATGATGTATGACTGCCATCACTGAAAATAATGACTCGTATGCCCGTAATCTTTTATTTCACTGCAAGGCCGAGGTGGAGGAGGAAGAGGAGGGGGCAGAAGCTAAGAAAAGAGGAGGAAGAAAAAGAAAGGAGGTGGGGACGAGGAGAGGGAGAAAGAAAAGAATAATCTTTTATATGTGGATGAGGTGGCAGAGATACTGCCGTCTATTTGGAGGAGGAGGAGTACGAGGAAGAGGAGGATGGAGACTATAACAGGCAGTCCACACTGACTCCCCAGTGACTGAACCAACCTCAGATTTACTGAGTATGAAGAAGTCAAGTCCCTCAGAGTTCATACTGTACTCCATAATCATTTCACTCCCATCTATATGAACAGAAAATTCTATACCTCACCAAAAAATGATAATTTAAGTATATAAAAATAAAATTTAAATGAATTGATTTAATATTACGATTTCCGCTGTAATAATACATGTACATGCATTTATACTGGGTCAGTTTTTCCAAGTGTCCTGCATGGTATAAGCCCAAGGTAGGGCTAACTTGCCTCAGAATAAAGATTTCTTTCCCCACACAGTAAAAAATGGAGTGTCAATATTTCAGAGTAAACCTATTTTAACCTAGATAGAGTATTTACAACTCTATGAGGAGTAAACCAGCTCTAACATCAGAGTTAAAAGTCAGTGTAAAGTTTGTTAGTCACGCAGTGAAGACTTCACTCCACACAGTGTTGATTATTACCAGTCTGCAGGCGTGTGTGGCCTCAGAGCTCTAATGCGCATGGAATTTTCTCCGAAGAGCTGCCACAGTCAGGTAAGTGAAGTTAACATTCCCATACTGGTAACATTGTTTAAAAGGTATTTTTAAACTAAGTAGCTCTTTATAGTTTCACTGATGTCGAGTGAGGACATGTTAGCAGCATTTACCCATAGGTTTAATGGCATTCCAGTAGCTACATGCTAGCAGTTGCTAAAAGTTAAGATGTTCGTTATCTTCTCACTGCGTTAATATGAACCTAAAACATTTTAACTATGTATTTCTTCTAAATGCTGTCTAAATAATATCATTGTCACATGTCAAATCGCACAGTTTGAACAACTAAATTACCGTTTATCAGTAAGCTAATAATCGCTAATTAGCTTACATGAGCGAACATACTTTCAGAAAAAGTGGGTAACATTACCATAAAGTTAACTTTACTGGTTTATATTATTTTAAGCAAATGCCAAAGGCATACACTACTTTAGAGTTTTGCTCATTATTTAGTAAGAAATATGTATTTTGTGTAAATTAACTGATAGCAATGTTAATGACATGTTAAGTAATATTAAGTAATGTTCCTATTTTATAGAAAGGTTTAAGAGTATGGACAAACCAAATCTCTGAGAGATGCAACCAGAAGACGGATGAGAAACATACTTGAGGCTGAGATGACAGAATGACATGGGTAAGAATCAAAAATGTAAGATATAAAGAAACATTTTAAACATTGTATTATTTTTAATTGTGATGTTTAATGCCAATTATTGAATTTATACATTAGGACATCTCCCCCTAAAAGCGTAAGAGTGATGTATGCGCAGGACATTGTTGCTCTGTCTCCACATCTGGAAGACCCATATTCACAACATGGATATGTAAGTAAAGGGAACTTTTCAACATTAAATACATAATTGCCCTCAGAAATGTTGATAACATAGTCCTTCTTCGTTTATTTAATTACATAGAAACATTACTACGATCCAGAGAACAGTTCAGGATACATTGCATGGCGGTTGAAGACCATTCAAAGAAAAGCTGTGGAGGAAAGAAGCGTCTCAGTTTGCAAATCTCCCAAAAGTAAGTTCACTTATCATTTAAATGATACTGATGTAATTTGTAGGCAGGATTCAATCAAACACCTCTCTATGTTCTGTATTTTTGCATTACAGATAGAACAAGATTTCCGACTCCTGTTTTGTGAGGTCACTGGGAGCAAATTCTTGGAGAGGTGGCTCACCAATCTCAAAGCAAAGGTTGTAAAGGAAAGTCATGGACTTGTCCCCACCTCAGAGCTCTTAGAGTTAATGTGCAATGCTGAGTCAGGTACTGAAGTTGAGAATGGTATGATTGTGACTGTTTTTATTTGCCATTGTTGGTTATATAGGTAATTCTGTCAAGTCAATGTATTTTTGGAATAATTCTTTGTTTATTCGTCTGTAGGCTGGGACAGTGACTTGTCTACTATCTTGCTGCTGCTACATCTGCTACCACCATCTGCACAAGGGCGAAAGAGACCAGGAAAGATGTCTGCATCTCAAGCTGTCAATAACCTCATCAAATTCCCAAAGGTATGTTGTTTAAAATATACTTTCCATCACCTCTATTTTCATGGACAGTGAGTTGAGCTAATCTACTGTCAGAGGATAGTCACTTAATACTGTTGTTTAATGTGTTGTTGTAGGCTGGAACCAGTGTACAGCAGCATCTAGACAACATCACCCGAAGCAGTCAGCCCTACCATCTTACCCAGGGATCCACGAGAAGCATGCACTTCCATGTAATGCGACAGGTTCTGTAGGAGCCCTTGATGAACTCTTTAGGGCCCATTATGTCTTTGGTACATCATACAGTTCATCCCTGACCAACTTTGTTACTTTTCTGCAACTACGACATTGGGGAAATGTCATATTGCTTTCTCTAGTGAGCATCATAGAACTGTGAATTGTAAAGGTTTGTTACGTTAATTAAATGACACTGAATTGAGAAACATAATAAATGCTGTTACTTTAACCTGTATATTTGTTGTTATTTCCATAATGTAGGATAGATCACAGTTATTTAGTAATATAGCATCATAAGATGAATATGAAAAAAATCACACTACAGAGAAATAAAAATGATATATTATTACACATCAGAGTGTTATTATTAAACTAAATTTGGAGTAAAATAGCTCTATAAAGTGTAATCAAATTACTCTGAACAGTGTGAATAACCCTCAGTGTTAAATATTTTTACACATTTTGTTGTTAATTTTGACACTAAATTGAGTACAATTAACACTGAAAAGTTAACACTGGCCATAGAGTAAATTTAACTCTAATTTTGAGTGGGACCAAATGTTATCTGAAGCAGAGTTAAAATCAACTCTGTAAGTGTAAAATTGACACTTGGTTTTTTACTGTGCAGCTGAAATAATTTCCACTGGAAAATATTCTTTGCATTTCCTGCATTTTATCAGTTTTGTCTGGAATTTGACTTTGAGGAAATGGAGGAAGTCGAAAAAGCTATTGGCAAACTGATGGAAACACTAAACCATTCTCATCGCAGGGCCTCAGATACTGCTAGGTTATCAAAACCGCTGGCTCCACAGAGAGAAACGAGGTGTTTTTCGTTGTGGTCACGGCAATATTGGCCAACAAGTGTGACACTGTTTCACCCATGGATGCAGCTTCCAGCTCTGGAAAGAAGAATGCTATAACATTTTATATATTTTTTTCTTTAATGGACGGGAGGAGGCAAGTTCCCTGGTTGCGTAAAGAAATCCAGTGTATAAAAGTCTGAGGGAAAACAATGCTTATTTTCCTTAATCACCACCTACAGCAAAAACTTTCCTGTTAAACCGATGGTCTCAGTCCCTAGTTTCGCGTCTTATTTAATCCAATATGATGATTCATATTGTAAATTATGTTCCTGAATATAGTTCAAAAGTAGAACAGAGCAGAGTCCGCTTAAAAAGCCCTGGCCTCTGACTGAAAACGACACTGTCCCTGCTGTTTATAGTCATAACTTACTTGTGTGATGTGTGGCTTACACTACATGTAACAACATTAACTGTGCACACTGGAAAAAGATAGCCAGTGGGTTCAAATGTTACACCAGGTGGTCAGTGCCGAGCATTTGTTTGTGCTAAGTTGTGTATAAGAGTACACTCTTTACCAGCAATTAAAGGTAATTGTGTATCTCGATAAAACAGAGACCCATTACAGCAACACCCCATTAATGGGTTTGTGTAATATCACCAGTGTTGGGTAAATTACTTTAAATTAGTAACTTAGTTACATTACTAGTTACTTCTATCAAAAGTAACTCAGTTACTTCAAGTTACTCGTTACTTTCAAAGTAACTAGTTACTAGGAAAAGTAACTTTGGTTTTACTCAGAATTCTCTTGTTAATGTGTTGCTTCCGTAACTGGATACCCAGCAAGAGTGCCAGTCTTCTAGCTTGCTTACTTGCCACAAGTGCACTGTGCCACCTAGCAATAGAAAGGAAAAGATAATGTGCATATTTCCACGAGAGAAATCCCACGCCTGGACCGTCGTTGACCACCGCCATGATTCTAGCCTACGTTACAGCGTCATGTGCGCTTTTTACATCCAACGCAAAAACTGCAGTCGACGTCCTTTTAATTGTACTCAGAACTCTGAAATCCTGCCTTCCGAATAGGAAGATGTAGGTAACACCAGACTGCAGATGAGCTGCATACAGAGCTGGACTGGGACAAAAAATTGGCCTGGGCATTTTGACTAGAGACCGGCCCACCATTATAGGAAAAATCATAAAGCCTTTGAATGAAAACAAACACTGTTGTGACAGTGATGTACACTGTTTTGATGGTATATATGCATCAATCTATCAATCGTTTGTTGTAAGATTCAGATAATTATTTTTTAAAAGCTAGACATTTTAAATGAGAATAAGAAAGAAAAGTATTTCTTTGTGCCCCCCTCTTCCTGTTAATGCCTTACCTGGCCCCCCTGGCAAAACTTTGCTAGACCCGCCCCTGCACAGTTACCAGCTGTCAGCTACATAAAAAAAGGATCCTGGTGTTATTTGTCTCTCAGAAACAGTTCATAACTTCCCTTCAACTCATTCTTGTCACCTAAAAGGTAAACCTGTTTCTCCATCACAGCTCTGATGATTCAGTAAGGACATCTCCTGGTTTCATCTTCATGTTTCCCTCTCACCACATATACAAACCATATCATGACCAGCAGGTTTACAGCTGTGGCTCCAGCAAACATCAGCTGATACTAGAAATTAATATTAAATAAATTCTAACAACAGCTGATCAAGCTTAAACGTGCTGCTGTTGTTTACCGCGACATCCGCTGGTTTATTCTTTCTGTGGGCGATAAACAAACAAGAGAGAAAAGCCGATCAGCAGATCATTGATCAGTTTCATGATTGAAGTAGAATCAGGAGAGAGAGGGGAGAGAAGAAGAGGCAGCTGTGCAGCAAAGACAGAATAACTCCAGCTTTGTGTCTTTTCCGGGACAAACTGCGTTCCTTTTCACCTCAATACGAAACGTGTAATATCTTCTTTTACGGGACGGTTGGCAACTCTAATAATTAACCTTATGAACAAAATAAAGTTCAACATCAGTAACATCATAGCACCCACCCAGCTGTATAGAAACTCCGTCATGCTAGCTAGCACACAGTACAAAAAAGTCAGCATAACGAAAATAAACTCCACCTAAACTTGGTTCATATCTGACCCAGATAGACTGCAGGTCATAACTTCTTACCTAAAGTTCAGTTCACCTGACACTCGGACAGGCGGCTGCCTCGGGTCTCTGCTCCTCCTGCCTCCCCTTTCCTTCATCCACCTGCTGGCCTCCACCACTTGCTAATGTTACTGAATCTGTGGAAGCTCCGCGATAGCCACCACACGAAGTAACGAATAACGACCCTATCTAAATCCCAGTAACGACTAACGCGTTCCTGATTTTGGCATAATAACTAGTTACCGTGCTCGTTACCACAATAATAACGTAGTTACTGTAACGCGTTACTTAATAACGCGTTAGTCCCAACACTGAATATCACCAACCGATAGGCTAATGTTGTGTCCCTTTTGGATGGAGCTCAAGAGGTCTGTATTCATGACCCTGAGGCTCAGTAGCACTGAGTAAGGTGACATGTTAGTGCCAATATTAAAATCAGCTTGTTTGGTGTGTTTAGTGTCTTAAAATGACCACTGATGGAAATGTCCATAGTTTTGCAGTCATTTTAAAACATGATAGCGCGATATGAGAGGTTCACGAAATTTTCATAAAACACTCTAAATCTAAACCATATCTGGTCTTACTACATCCCAGATTTTGAGCTTTACTACTTTTACCACATGTGCAAATTAGCATAAATGAGTAAAATGAGTATATTTCTATTTGATGTTCTGCTTTCCTGGAGTTTATTTATGTAGCAACTATGTTTTGATGATTTGTAAGAAGTTTTTGTATTTATTACGAACGACTGTGGAGGTGATCTGAACTGCATCAGTCATTGTTATCTTCCCGTCTTCTCCATCCAAAAACGAGCCCAGAAGAGTTTTAAGCTGCTGCTCATTGGGCTCGTTAACAATGTCTCTTTCGTTAAGGATCTCTCCGCTCATTAGGCATCTCCTTCCTAACGAGCCGTCTCCTGACCTTGGAGTTGTGGGGTTTTTGCCAGGGGGGCCTAATGAGCACACTCTGAATGTCCTGTCGGCATATGGAGGAGCTGCCCAGGCATCTTGGCTGAAGATGGGGCCTCCGCAGGAAGAGCTGGACTTCCTCCAGAAGACATCCCGCCAAAATGAAGAACATGAATAGCTTGTTGGCATTGTTCATCTTATCCTGCTGCTATTATCATTTCTAAAACCTCTTAGTTTATATCATCATTTAAATGAGTTGATTTTGTTACACAATCTATTTTTTGTGTGTTCTATTGTGTTCTCTCTTTTTTTGGCTTTCTGCCTTTTTTTATTTGTAGAATTTCCAATGAATGTTGAGACTGAACCTCAGGCTTTCTTTTATACAGAAGCACATTAATATCACACTGTGATAATCCTCCTCTGTGAGTTCTATCAAAACAGGCAACAATAAAGTGCTTCATTGTACAAACCGAGATTCTCCTCCAGGAGTTTTTTTCCCTCCTTTTTCCTTCACAGTTTCCTTGAGTATTGAAGGGCCGAGGTGGAGATGGTCCATGCGTGCACCGTATGGTGAGCGGGGACACATGCAAACACTCAGGGCTGTGTGTGTTGGCAGTAGCTGTGGTGTTGTGGGTAATTTGGTCA